GAGCATATATATATATATATATATATATATATATACACATTTGTCAATCACTAACCAGTTTCATGAACTACTAAAATTAATGAATTTATAATGAAATTTGACATATACATTAATCATTAGTGATAATTTTTTAAACAAATCGTATTTATTGTGTTATAAAAATCTACTTGAATGATCTTATTCACCAAATTATTTTTTATAACAATAATAATCACGAGGAATAATATGTTGTGTTATTTAGTTAAGACAAGACGAAAAACGAATATAAACCATATACAGTGTACAAAAGTTTATCCCGATGACAAAATGAACAAAAAATTATTGATAGTTCTTAAAGTTCAGTATGTCAATATCTTATATAGTGTACAAAAGCTTATCCTGATGACAAATTAATATTAATAATTACCTTTTAATTTTCAAATCAATTTATAATCAAATAATGAAACTAATAAATTTGATTACAAATATAGTTTAGTTTTTAAATTTCAATTAATAATTATAAAAAAAATTAAAGGAAAATCACTTATAGTTAAGTATTTAGTTTAAAAATAAAAATAAAAACAATTATTTCTACAATGAAAACCATAAAAAAGAAAATATAATATTTGCCTAACACGAAAAAAATATTTATAATAAAACTATAAAAAAGAAATAAAATATTTTGTCAAATAAAAAGATAAATAATAGTTAAATGTTATCATTTTGATAAGTAGTGATTATGGTATTGACGATGTTATTATTCACATTATTATTATTATTATTACTACTGTTGTTACCACTATCATTATTATCATGTGATGACAATCCTAAAAAAAATGACAGTTATAATGATAGTAATAATAATGATATAAATACATTTTTCTATCGTAGGAAAGCTAAGAAATAAAGATTAAGAAAGAATAATTTCTTAAAAAGATGTTCAAAAAGTTACCATGAACAAGTAATGACAAAGTAATGAGAAACACGAACCAAATTAATAAGTTATCAACTAAAGATACTTCTTCCTTTACCAACTAGTTAACATATTATTGTCTTATAAGTGTAAGTGAAAATCAAGGTCTAATTATAGTAAGTAAAATTTATAATCTTGTGAATCATAAACATAAAAATGAGGAATCCCAAGCTTAATAAGGGAGAGGACAATATTGGAGTCGGACTCACACTTACTAAATGATAGCCGCGTTCCCAACGTATATTAATTCCATGATGAACCGCAATTACATCGACGTGAAAGACCGTAACGAACCCACAAAAACCTGTTAGCCACCAACCCGCACCATCACTTTTGCATCTATATCTACATACCGTAGTCCCAACATTGATGCCATTTAAAACCGACATCGATGAGGTGTAACTCCACACAATAAACACCGTTCTTTAGGTGAATTCCTCTTCTGAGGTGCACTATAAAAAACTCAAGGATAGGTCCTTGTTCCTTGTCTCATCACCACCAATTCTCTTACTCTTTTAACAGTTCTCAAGGCTTCAGCTTCTAATATCCGCCATTTCAACATATACTCAAATGGCCTCCCTCCGTGAGCTTCTCTTGTCTTTCTTCATTGCTTTGTCACTTTTGTCCATTGGCAATGTCCAAGCCAGTAGAAAACTTCCGGCACCCACATTGCCAAATTCTCCTCGCCAGATTTTTCCTCCATTCCCCCCAATAATGGATTGGCCAGAGTATAGATTGCCTTCTCCTTTTATTCGCACACTTCCACCCTCCTCACCACCTCCCACAACTACCAATCCTTGAGTAGGACTATTTTCAGCAACATATTCATACTTCGCTGTCTGAAAAATTATTAAGTGGTCTTGAACCACATGATTTCCAACAAGTGATTGATTACGGTTACAAACACTTGATCTTCTTGAATTATCTAATAATTTCTAGCCATACATGGAGATGTTGCATTGCATACATGTGCAGCAAAATAAAGGTTCACACACAAGATTTCCCATTATGTCTATTTACCTTGTTTGTTATCCATTGATTGAGTGAAACATGCCATGTTACACCATGTAATGGAGCATCATATGTTCCGCTTTTGCTTTTGAGCAAAAATTGTATGTTGCATTGAAGTATAATTTATTTTTCATCCAAATTACTAGCAATCGTGAGTGTTTCAGCCTTCCAAAAAAACAGCAAGAGGCTATTATAAAATTTTGGCCAATGCAACCAAGGGAAATGAATACGGGTCAATCAACAATTCATATTGTTAGTTTATCTGACCAATTCCATGGACATTGTGAAATTACTTGTTAGTACTTTGCAATTTGCATCCTTAGTTAATCTAAATATACCAAAACACCAACATGGCTAACACACGTCTCTAAAATGTTGAAGATTTAGCATGCATATCAATATTAAGTCATCATACAAAGAAACTGACCTGTGACAGATCAATGAACAAAACTGAATCTATCAAATTTGTGTCTTGAATACATCAGAAAATTCATATATAAATCTTAGGAGGCTTCATATTTGGGGTCCGATGTGACCAAGTGATAAGCTATAACCAAACCAAAAATGAAGATGCCAAGAAAATTGGCAATGGTTCCCAAGGCTTGATCATCAATCATCTCTAACTTTCTGGACGAGACAAGAAAAAATAAAACCAAATAATTAAGGAACGCATCAAATGAATTGCTTTATATTAATCGCTGTAAATGAATTCCTCGTCATATTATACGAAAAGATGCAAAGAAAGAAATTAAAAGTTATGAATCAGAAATTGACCTTTTTTGGAGTCGCTGAATGAAATGGTTTGTTGGATCGGGATTGGGAACACGCAGCGTTAAGCGTAGCCCCAATTCTTTAAAAAGGAAGGGTGCGTTGACCTGGAATTAAGACGACATTTTAAACGCCGTCGTTTCGCTTCCAAGTTTTAAAGCGCAAAAATTATACGTTGTGTGGCTGCTGGGATTCGAGCCCAGGTCTCCACGGCCACAACGTGGAATTCTTACCACTAAACTACAGCCACTAGATATATTGTTTTATAATTTTTTAAGATTATCTTATAGAATAAGTATAATTATAAAATCACGGTTCAACTGTAGTTGGGGAACTTTATCCAAGTTTTTATATTAACAATGTATTTAGATTTCGGTTTAAAATAATTGAACGTTCAACTCAATCCTTTTTCTTGCATACTTTTCCATTTAACTGACATAAAATGTGTACTAACAATGAAACAAACACATCCAAAATCCATTTGAAATGGGTGATTTATGAAGGATAGCTTTTGTATAGAAGAATTAAAGTTCTGTTTTTTCTTCGAAAAACCGCTCAATCATTAACCACCCCTAAAAGAGAAAAGTTTCAAAATTTGGTAGATGTCACTTTGGATGAGGATTCTCTTCAATAAAAGAGAAAAAGGAAACTTAGTCTGAACCCTTAATTTTATTTATCAATCTTCACAAAATTATGAGAATTAAAATTTTGTTCATCATAGCAAAGATATCTTACTGGATCAGTATTGATTCGTTTTCTATCCAGCAAAGTTTTGCCAACGAAGGAACCCAAAGATGTCCTAAAAAGAGGAACATGATTGACTTGATTCTCTTATTAAATAATGAAACATCAGAAGCTAGGACACATAAGTTACAATATATCGCATCCTGAGATTCTCTCTATCTTGTTATTCATCATTGTAGCAGAAGAATATTATAAAAATGTTGCCCCATCATCTATCCGTGGCCACCTTGAGCTATAGCTAGTAGCGATCTATGTCTTCCCATGACCACATTATTCACATCCTACTACACAACACAATTGACCACATAAGGCAAGAACTAGAGATAGCAAGCCTTTTATTTATATGCTAGCTATTAGTCTATGACATCATAACTAATAGCAGCATGGAAAAGGAACACAAGCATGCACGTTCCCTAAGGCGCAAATTCACACGCACACAATGACAGAAACAAACCAACCACTGAAAATCAAACACACCACAATGTGCACATAACAACATGACCAAGCTAATTAAAAGCTTGGATGAATCAAATTAACCCCACCATTGGTGCACTGCAATTCCCTCATCTCTCACTCTTCCATACAAAGCCAAGCACTCCCAATAAGCCCTTTCATTCTTCTTTCTCTTCCCCGTCTGCCACCACTCATTCTTGCACTCTAGGAAGAGTTCATCCACCAACCCTATTGTCCTCTTCTTCATCATATCCTCCACCACCTCTGCTTCTGCCTTCACCACAACGTACTCTTCCTCCTTCACATTCTTCGACAGCCAATCAGAAACGTCGAAATGATCTTCTGGCGCAACCGCGAAGCTGTGAGTCTCGAACTGTGTATTCTTCTTCGGATAGTCCTTCTCGAACCATTGCATCACACCCTTGTTCTCCTCGGGTAACCCTATACCAATGAACACCCTCTTATCATAACCCTCGAGAGAATCACCTAACAAGTCAGGTAGGTACTTGATGTTGTTCAAGTACTTCCTTGACTTAACCAAAGCCTTTCTCGGAGGCTCCAAAAGCACATCCTCAAGACCCTCCAAAGCCACTGTCTTGGCCTCGGCCTCTGTCTCCAAGAGCTTCCTCTTAGGGGAAGAGAAATCAGAATCCACCGACAACCTAATGGCTGGCCCGGTTTTCTTCAATGCAACAATAACAAACCCGTATCGCTTAAGGAAAACAACCCTATAATTAGTTTGTTCTTTAAAAGCAGAATTCAACGGTTTAGCCCCCAACGGGAGAGCCACAATGCCATCAATCTTCAGAATGCGATCAATAAACTCGGCATCAATAGAACCAGAGGTGAACACAAAATCATAAGACTCGTCACTGAACAAGCTCTTTCTCTTAGAATCAGAGTCCATGACAACATCAATCTCCTCCCCAAAGCCATTGGGAATGGGAGAGTTCACAATAAGCGCCTTATCGTTCTCTCCGAGAAGCCCCTCATCGGCGAAATCATGAAAAATCGAATTCAATAGCCCCACATCGAGAGAGCCGGAAGGAAGCAACGAATTGCTGTTATGATAAGCAGAGGAGAATCCTCTGAGAGCGGTTCTCAAGAAAGGCAAGGTGGCGAGAACCATGGCCAAAAACAAAGACCGAGATAGAATGCGCAGAACAAGCGCATCCGGGATCCTGATAACGAGAAAAGTTTCGGGGTTGAGCGAAAAGGCTCCATCGTGAAAATGCTTCTTCATCTTGATACCCTTGCTGAAATCCACCGATGAGGGAGCGAGATCGAGAGAGGTTGTGTGTGAATTTTTCGTAAATTGAAGAGAAAACAAAGCCAGGCGAAGAAAGGAGAAGACCTCAGCGACTGCAAAATCTGGCGGCGGTATGATTTCCACCCACAAGAGCGACACGGTTGCTTCGTATTCTGCACCACATGAGCATCAACTGCCTCATCCTCTCGAACTCCATTGTAGGGTTTTGGTAGGCGGTGGCGTTCGCGTTCTTACCCGGTTGTTGTTGTCATCTGAAAATGAAGGGCGCCACCAGAACTAGCAAGAGGAAATGAGACAGTGATTGATCAAGAGGAGGAACAAAGTGTGTGACTCTGAGAATGGAACGCTGAAGAAAGGTCGAACAGGAACTTTATACATAAGCGGGTAAGGGAGGAGGCTGTGTGAGGCGCAGGTAAATTTTCGGTTTTTCCTAGATACTATGTTTGGCACTTTCATTCATGTCAATGTGCTTTGCTTTGGGTTAAATTTAGGATCTTTGTTAGGCTGGTTGTTTTCTTAAATACTATATTTTTAACCTCTTGTTTTTTGTTTGGTTGAAAGGTTTTCTTTCTTTTCTTATTTTAAGAATTCATTATTACAGACTCTAGAAGTTATTTAGAGTTTGGATACTTTTAGTTTTAGTTATGTTTGATGATGTTGGTATGATTTTTAGTTTTTGGAGATTAATCTCTACAAGTTTCGTGAAAGGGAGGTAGATTTGATGGAGGACACGTCTAGAAAGCATGAGACAGGTGTTTGGCTATGCAGTTTTGATGTGGGCCGTGTCATTCATTTTGAAGATAAAATGTGTCTCTACTTGTACTGTGTCTATATGATAATATGGAAATGATTATATCCTTGTAATTAAATTAAATTTAAAACTAAAAGCAAAAGTAAATTATATCGGTTCAATTTTTAAAAGTAATTATAAATCAATAAATTTACATATATATAAAAAAAATTATATGAAAAAAGAAAATTCTACCAATCTCATCGCTGAATTACACTTTAATACTATTTTGTATATTTATGTTAAATTTATCAAATTTAAAAAATAATATAAAATTAATTAAGTTATTCATATCTTAATATATTTTAAAATATATTATATCAATTTTGATATATAATTAAAATATTAAATAATTTTAGATTAAATTTATTTTTTTATATATAACTTAAGTGAAAAAAAAAACTTTAAAAAAATAGGACAAATATATTATAAAACAAGAGTGAAATTTTGGTAATTTTGATTAATGTCCCTTAAGTACATTAGTCTATTAGTAACTTCTAAAACCGACCTAATATTTTAAAAATTATAACCTAGTTATATTATCTTCTAAAAAATAAATTGAAAACTACTAAAAAAAAGTTTTTAGTTAGTATCAGTGAAAATAAAAACACTTCATACCTTTATTTAAAAAATATGATATTTTTTCGTTGTTATTATTATTATTATTATGATTTTCTTATGAGATAGCGTTAGGGTTTTATATTTAGTAAATTTTTTGTAAAGATTAAAAGATTTATGATATTTGTTAATTGTTATATTATTTTTATTTTTATTTTAAGGGTTAAACTCATAAAAGAAATATTATGCGACCTTTATATAAGTGTAGATGTGATAGAGGATTTTTTTACTATTATTTTGATGTTATAATTTTTTAATATTTACGATATTATTCAATGTTTTTGTAGTTTTATTTTTTATATGTTTTTCTTGGATTTTTATCGATTAGAGTTTAATGTTAATTAGTATTATTGGTCCTCCAAATCAAATAATGAAATAATAATAATAACAATAACTAAAAAATAAATGTAGAGATTCCATGAAGAGGAAGTATAAAAAGAGAGAGCATGGCATTGATCGCTCGCAGCCATTGAAGGAAGTACTCACAGAAGAGGAGAGAAAGAGAATCCGAAGAAGAAGAAGAAGAAGAAGAAGATGGGAGTGGAGAAGCAGTTGGTAAGGCCTGGAACTGGTCCCAAGCCAGTTCCCGGTCAGAACGTCACCGTTCACTGCACCGGTTTCGGTTCGTCACTCTCTCTCTCTCTCTCTTTTCCCTTTCTAAACCCTAAAATTAACCAAATTTTTCTTTCCATTTTCTTTTTTACAGATCTACCTGTTGTTTGATGTGCTAACTATTCTCGATTTTTTTATTGTGAGCAGGGAAGAACGGTGACCTTTCTCAGAAATTTTGGAGGTTAACTATCTTACCCTCACTCCCACCATCTTTTTCGATTATCAATTAACTCACTCGTTTCTCCTTATCTTACAGCACAAAGGATCCTGGCCAGAGCCCTTTTACATTCAAAATCGGCCAAGGTTCTGTTATCAAAGGTAATACCATTTTTACTTTGTTCCTGTTCCTGTTGCTTTTGCATGCCTGCAATCTAAATTCACATTTCTCTCTAGGATGGGATGAAGGTGTGATTGGCATGCAAGTCGGTGAAGTTGCTCGTCTCCGGGTAATTCTTCTTCTTCCTACTTGAAAATTGTTGTATATGTTGTCTCAGTTGTCACACTTGTAGCTATTAAGTGAGTGCTAACTATTCTTTGATTTCGTATTGCTTGTTTCCACCATGATTATTGTGAAGTGAACATTATACGATCAATCTATTTTTTCTCTTGTTGCAAAATCTTGTCGCTGTACGTAAAATAGATGGTCAAAATATCCTAGTACCTTGGAATCTTTGCTATGACTCAGATTGTCACTTGTTGGATATCCTTGGTGACTATTTACTCCGCAATATATACATGCTTTCATGGACACGATTCTTTCTTTTTCTGATATTGCATCCAATCATGTATTGTTGTTGGTGACATTAAAAATTAGCCTTGCCATTTAAGAACCTTCCTGGGAAAGGGATTCAATTTAAGGTTGTTGGTGCTGAATCCGTTTTATTTCCTTAATTCTTAGCTGTTTCTTTGTTACTTTTTGTTTGGGTGGAGGGTTTACTAAATTGAATAAACCCTGTTATTCACATTGTTGATAATCTTGCAGTGCTCCCCTGATTATGCTTATGGTACTGGTGGCTTTCCTGCTTGGGGAATACAGCCCAACTCTGTTTTGGAATTTGAAATCGAAGTCTTGAATGCGCAATGAAAACCTTCTTAGTCTGTCCCTGTCCAGAGAATAAAATCATCCATTTTCATGGATATATGTGTAATGGTATCCCCACATTGTGACTCTGTGAGTGATATCAACAGTGGTTGAGTTGTTTAACTGAAATACTAAATAACTTATTGGATGTTCTCAGACTATCTAATATTATGTTTGGTAGCCTTTACTGTCTCCCTCATTTCTTTGGCAAATTAATATTATCAGGCAATCCACCACCGTAGTGTCTGCATCAAATCCTAAAATAACTTATTGGATATTTTGACTGCCATTGTGATAGTAAGATAAACTTAACAATTAAAAAACCGAGACCTTATCATAAATTGTGCTAAGAAGTGTTATAAAATTTGTTTTTCGCTCTAATAGGAGTTGTTGCTCAGGTGCAAACCTTTTAGAAGACATTATTGTGTAATGGAGCAACAAACAAGTTTCATAAAAAATATTTTGATTAAGATAGGAGTGAGGGTCTCTTGAAGCAAAATTATAGGGAGGATTGAACATTTTTTTCATCCTATAAATATGAAAAGTTTATTTTTAGTCCTCATTTTATAAACATTGACTTTTGATCAATTCTTTTTAAAATGTGTCAAATTTAATCACATTATCACTAACTTCTGTAATTCAATTTATCAGTAATGTTGAGTCAACATTACTAAGTTTAGGCCTTTAAATTAGCATACATGTATGTTGTATCTGGTGACTACTCACCAATTAATTAGATTAACAAAAATTATGACGGGATAAATTTGACAATTTTAAAATAGAGAGGATAGAGAGTTGCTGTATTAAAATTGAAGGACAAAAAATAATTTATTTATATATTTATGAAAATGAAAAAGGATGTTAAACAGTAGTTGTAACAGTAGTTGTAGAATGTGTGGAAGAGTCTATTTTGATATAAGTTAGGGGTTTTTTTTGAAATTATTTTATTAAAAATGAAGAATATTTTTCGATAGAAAAGTTATGAATAATGCCTCTAAATTTTGGATTAAATTTTTTTTAAGCCTAACTATAAAAAAAAAGCATGGAATAAAACAAATTGCAAAAGTCCAATTCTGAAATACATTGCGAGGTGAGTAAGAAAACATAGTTCATACCAAAGCATATAACTTGAAAATAAAATAGCTTTATTATATCCTTTGGTTCAACCGAGATGAAAAAAAAAAAAAAAAAAGGCATTTTAATGGAAGAAAGATGAGAGATTTTAAAAATTAATTTATGTTTGTATCTTAACAATTCTGAATTTTGAAACATAGGTAAAGATATTTAAGACATTATGATGAAATCTTTTTAAAATCCCTTCTTTTCAAATCCTTTCAAAATTAGAGTTAAAATTAGGTAAGTAGAAATTTTGTTTTCTTTCATTCTCTTCCTCTCTCCTTAAAAATTAAACTAAATGATAAAAATTCATAAAAATCAATTTTCTCAGATAATAAAAGTTTACAAAAATCTCTCTTTAAAAATTAAACTAAATAATAATAGTTTATAAAAATCTATTTACTCAAATAATAAAAGTTTACAAAGATCTCTTTCCTTCATTCCTCTTGAACCATACGCAATGTTAAGCAGAACCCTAAACTAATTCAAAGATATTAGTGTATCATTTTTACATCAATTTCTTAGAAAATAACTATTTCTTATTATATCCTTGAATCGGCCTAAATCAATATTACAATATTTCCGAGCAGTCCTGCATTTGAAGACTATTCATCAATCTCTGATATTAAGTTCAGATTGGATTCAACGATCTTCTGCCCATTACGTGCCATCTTGCAGTAACAGCGATGGCAGAATAATCCTACGACCCATGTACGCGATTGTTTCTGAATACGTATACTTCCTCTCCTTTAGGGAGGCTCAATGAGAAAAAGACGAATGCAACCCAGGTAGAAAAAAACTCTTGAATCAATATTTTCAACTTTAACTCTTGTGCTTAGACTCAGCATTGTACACATTCAGGTTGAACAATAATAAAACGAGGAAAAAAACTGTTTTTCTTTTTCTTTTTCAAAATAAGTAATGTTAAAAAATTGATGAAAACTTTGTGTAAATATCTTACCCAAACTAATTTAAGAAATTCCTTACTAATATGATTCTATAAAGGATTTTCAAAATTAGTAAAATAGCACATACTATTATTACCTCTGGTCCTAATTATAAATAATAAATTAAATTTTATCTTAATTATAAGTAATAATTATTAGTTTTTTTAGTTATTTAGGATTAGATTTCTTTTATACCATTATTTTATTGTTAACTCTAATTCTTGTGCATTCGCTCATAATAAATATTTATTCTTTATTATAAGTAAAAATAACTAATTTTACAGATATTAAGAAAGTTATTTATTTGCATTAAGTTTTGTTATTTTCATAAAATTCTTTCTAAATTGTCCTTATTATAAATCTCAAAAGAAATAATGCAACTGAAAAGTCATTCATTAAAGGATGGATATTTTAGAGAAAATATTAAAAATGATGCAAAAGTAGTTAAATTTACTTATATTTAACAAGAAATGTATTTCTTTTTTGTTTATAATAGATAACAGATAGAGTATTAAATATGACTTAAAGTAAAGGATATATTTAGAATAAAATTTGAATTTATAGTAAAATTAATTAAAAATAACTGTATTAATTATTTTTCTTAATGTTAATGATTTGTCATGTTTTTAATTAGGATCAAAGGTAGTATTTTGTAGCATGTTTCTACCGGTATTTGAGAGACAGTTAGTTAGGAGTTTGTAGGAAAAGAAGTTTAAACAATTAGTCTTTTGTATCTCTTTAAGTGTATTTATGACACTAGTTTTAACAGTGATGTTGGGTAAAGTCTTCAAAGTGGTGACTCCAATATTGAAACCTTGACATCACAGATAAAGTTTACTAGAAATCTCAACTTACTTTCAACATGCTTAGCCACTATTTAGTAAAACTTGGATACATATACATTAATGGAAACAGAAGAAAATTTTAAAATACAACAGTTAAAAAAATACAATAAAATGAAACTTTACTTGCTTTGAATGAAGTGAGTTATTTCTAGGTTCGAAATTATGGATCAGACTGTTAACTAAAATAACATTCAAATGAGGAAAAATAGTTCAAATTATCAATGCTGCATTACCTTCACTAGAGCTTCCAGATTTTAATGGTGCAAGGTGTTAGATCTCTATCAATGCAATGATGATTCAACAATCATGAATGTTTTAAACAGTCCAATTTTGCATTGTAAATCATATCCCATCTTCCAATCACCACTACTGCTAAAGTAGTGTTCAAACAGTGCATTTTGCTCCCAAAATCTATTTAGTTCGCTAACTACTATTAGTGCTTATGATAAAGCTCACTGAAAAAACATTTGCAGAGAAAAATGTAGCTGAGCCAAAAGGTATGCATTTTTTTGCCTTTGCCTTTAAAAAGAGATATAATCGGAATGCAATCAATTCCATGTAAGTTCTTTAATGATAAAGGTTTAAATGAATCCCTGAATTCTAGCATCCAGTCTCTGAAATCCAACCGCACTTTGGTGTAGCTGTAACCGAAAGGGAAGACCTCATTATAGATTTTGGTATTTGGTGCTTGTGCCCTCCACTCCAAGCAAAATGGTATAGCACCATGCATATTATTTACAATATTATACATGAATTATTGGCCTTTTATAAATTTCGGGTCTTTTATTCTCCTTCTTTTGGCCCTTCATCAAATGCACGGGTGTAATATATTAGATTGGATGATTGTAGTTAGTGGGCTAAAAATGGGGGTTGCACTTGATGGATCTACCATTTGCATAATTCTCTTATTTTTATGGTCATGCTATTATATCATTCATTCCATGTACCTCGTGCCACTTTGGTGGGGGCGATTGGGCCCTCGAGATTGGTTGCATTTCAATGACTAGCTAACAACAAATTACGATGCTAATGAGTGTATTAGATTATTCATGAGTGAATGGCACATGTTTGTGTCTCTGCCATAGTGAAATGGGACTTTTGTTTTGGCAATGTTATTGTAATCATAATTGTTTTAATTATAAGCATTCAAACAAGTATGCTAATGCTTTTGATAATCGCCAGTTAATTAGGGCCACCACCATCAATTCATTTCTTAAGCAAATTTCACATATGCGTATTCGATTGGGAAGGAATGTGGACTTTGGTCGAAGTTACATCTCACCAAAAGAAAATTATGGTTAAATCTTCGATCATTATACTAACAACCAATTATATCTTTTAAATTATTTTATTTTATTTTTATTTGATTAAATAAGCAAATGACATAGTACTATTAAAAGATATAATTGATTTTAATGTAAAAAAATTTTATATTAATAGTGTAAGGGTGATTAACTCTGTCTCTCCCTATATATATATATATATATTGATGACATGAATTGATAATGTGATACTAACTTAATAACGTGTAATTTGAGGACAAAATGCACATAAATTTAAAAAAATGAAAGTAAAATATGTAATATTTTAAAACTATAGAGACAAAATGTATGATATTTTAAGAGTATAGAGAAATTATAAAAAAAATTGATAAAAATATAATATATATATATCAAATTATGTCATTTGCAACTGTAAACCACCCTTTTATTCCTTCTAACGCAATCTACCATTCAAACCCAAAATCACAACACAAGAAATTACATAAGTTCTTTGGTCGTCAACATTTATTGAATTCCTTCTTAAATCCACTTGCAAAAAATTTCTTCCTAAACCTATTCATTGTCACAAAGTCCGGATACTATGCACATCTTCACAAAGCACATACCTATTTATCATAATGTCTTGAGCGTATACTTCTCATTTTTTATGGATAAAACATAATATCTAACATTTACTCACAGATTCAACCTACCACATGGAGATTGGAGCCTTCAAAATGCACTTTTTCCCTAAGGAAGACATGTTGTGAGAGATGAATATGTGCTACGTGATTGTGTCCATAGTCTTGTGACTATAAATAAATTTAAGAAAGAACTTGGAGAATGTCAAGAATTGAAAAATGTATGCTATTTGTTGTATAATGATGCTTGCGTTCTTAACTTTTGAGTGAAAAATTAGGTTAGATGGAGTGAATGATAATGACATGATTTGGTTTTTGAGAGGATGGTATTTGTAGGTTAAAAGCCAACAAATATTATTATTTATTATTTTTCTTATGTACACGTTGCACATTTTTTCTTGATACTTACAAAAGAAAGAAAGAAAAAAAATAGCATGAGCGTGGAAAAGGTAAAAATGAAAGGGGAAATAAAAGGAAGGGGCAAAAGTGAGATTTGGTTGTCTATATAACGGTGGGCATTCCCATCTCCCTCCACTACCTCTTTCACGCATTTTCTTCTTCACTGTTCACTCTGTTTCCCTTTTCCTCTTCCACTCTCCTCAATTTATCTGTAAGTCCTTTCAACAACTCATTCGCTTTTTTTTTTTTTTTTTTAGTCGGTAAGATGAAAACATGTTTAAGGTGAAGTCTTGAATCTACTATCTCCGCCATGTAACCTGGGTTTCGAATTTGATCTTTTTTTTTTTTTTTAATTGGAGTCATTTTGCTGTTAAATTAACCTACTTTGATTGCTGACAAATTTGAGGATACACAGTAGTTAATTTTTATTCTTTCTTTTTTAAAAAAAATTCTCAACGCTGAGTAGGCCAAGTGGGCTTCATGGTCTTCTTGCTAGTTGCCAACAAGTCACCAACATGGTGATTGCTTTCTCTGTTATCTTATTATGTCCCTTGATCTCTCCCTCGATTGGATAAGAAAATTAAGACAAGGGTGATGCTCCTACAGCCTTTTTTAAAAATAAATAAATAAAATAAACGAACAGACTGAGTTGTATGTTGCAATGAGTTTTCCCATTGTCACAGTAATTATTGTTGTTTTTTAATTTGAAACATTAGTCTATTGGAGGATTTATTATTATTATTATTATTATAAGCACTATTGTTGTTGTTACTATGTTTGCCAACATGAAATTGTTTTAATATATTGTTTCAGAGTAATTGGTCTCAAGGGCATAATATCTTCCGGAAGCTCTAAGCAATTGTGGAATCTTAAGTCACATAGGAAGAAATCAGCATGTGGTTGGGTCTTTTGGTTGACGTGTGCCGCCAAGTTGTAAGCTTGAACTTGTATTGTAAAGTTATTCTGTAGGTTCTCAGTCCCATAAATCCTTTTACTTTGTTACTTTGGGAGTTTGGTCCCTTATTTTTAACCCATGCCATGGAAGACAACCACTGTTTGATCATTTCTTCAGACGAGTATAGAATTGGCTGAAAGATAGGAAGTGAAGATAGAGCCTGGTATATTTTATCTTTGGTGTTGTCCTCCTCCCATATAGTTCTATAGTTCTAGCTGATTTTGATTTTATAATTAGCTTGGTGCCTTTATTATCACGTTCTATTGGGGCATTTTCTTTGGAGTGTGCATTACATTCTCTTGTGGTAAGGATCAAAAGAAGTTATGGTGTGCCAAGCCGCAAGCCAAACAAGATTCAGGGCTTTGAAACATGAGAGTGGCATTGAAGGTGAACCAACAATTATTGTTAGAGTGATAGCATGCTTTCAACCTTTGCACGATTGTCAGGTTAGTAACCTGTCACTGATTCTTAGTCTTTTGCAATTGCAGTTCTTTTCTATGACTGTAGGCATGATTTTCAAACCAGCTGTTTGAAGAAAATTTTTATATATGTCTATTTTGTTCATACAGTATGTACATCGTGTTCAATGATCACTAAACCTTATGGTGTAAGTCAGCTATCGAGTAATTTTATGTGCTTATGGGTGCCATCTTTTAACTCTTTGCAGGCTGAGTACTTCCGTCATTTGCTTAAGCCTGTCACGTAGATTAGTTTACGTTTATTTCTCTTTAAGTCGGAGTTTGTAGTTTTGTTTTCTGTCATTTGTTCCTAAGAGAAGCAGCAAGTCATTGAAGATCTATCAAGGCACCATAACATCTGCTGGTATGTAATTTCAATTGCTCTTTTTCATCTGAAAATGTCTTGTTTTCATCATCAGCGTTGATTAATCAGTTCTATTGTTATTTAGGTCATTTCTTTTGTTGAATGGTTAAGACTCATAGGTCTTGGCCTTACCCACAGCACGTGGCTTGGCCATCACCTTACTTAAATGGCTCCCACACCTTGGCAGAGCCCAGTTCACAGGTTCATTCAGCATATATGAACCCTAGCACATGCATCTTTCCTGCTGTCAGCATATTTCCAAGGTTCACGTCCCCTGCTATCCCAAACTTGAAGACTGAGCAGACCAATGAAGTGCAAAGATTCCTTCAGTATCCCAATTCAGAACCATGTTTGAAAGAAATACATACTGGGGGGGCTATTCAAAATGCAAATCATGCATCTTTGCAGAAGAAGTTACTTATTTTCGACCATTCTTGTGGTAAGACAAGGTTGCTTTATAGTCCTGTCTACCCTCTTGTCCAGAGTCCAATTGTTACTGCTACACATTTTGCTCAAGTTTATGATGTTAAAGAGGAAGCACAGGCAATTAATATGGGCCAAATGCATTTTCCCGTATACAATTCACCAGAAGAGACTGGTAAGGATCATATAGACAATGAAGAAAGTGAAATGCATGAAGACACAGAAGAAATCAATGCATTGCTTTACTCTGATGATTCTGATGATGATGATGAGGTAACAAGTACAGGCCATTCTCCATTGGTTAGTAAAAGAACTTATGATATGCGAGAACAGTTTGAAGATATGAAGGAGGAGGTTGCTAGCTCTGATTGGCCAAACAAAAGGCAGAAGTTAATTGGTGGTGGATACAATAAATTACCACCACTTGTGGACAGTGCTAGTTCTGAATGGCTAAATGAAACATGTGAGTATGTCAGCGATGCTGAATCGAAGTATTCTAGTAGTGGGGTGTATTCTTCAAGGCATATTAAAGAAGATAATTCAACAGTTGCTGATATTCAATTGAAAAAGGAGAAAATCCGTGAATTTTTTAGAGTTCTTGAGAACTTCATTCCTGGAGCAAAAGGAAAGCATCCCCTGCTAGTCATCGATGGTACTATTGAGTACTTGAAATCTTTGATGTACCAAACTGGTACACTGTGAAAGTATCACTGAGTGCTCCTTGTGGTTATAATATGGTTGGAGGGCACATGGTTGGTGAAAGGGGTTGTAACTATTGAAGCATTACTGCTTCTTTTAACCTCTTTCTCGAGGTGAATTTATAGTTTAGCAATAAAGGAGCGAAAGCAGCAATAGATAGTACTGCAGTTTGCCATTGCAATTGAAGAAACATGGGGTTTGGGATTTCAATTTGATGACCAAGATATTTTAGCTTTTAGGTTTTGAAGGATTAAAGGTGACGGATGGAGATGGTAGTGGATGGCTGTGCTGTAAATGAGGACACTTTTTTCTCCTGGAGTGTTGAATTCTCTTGTTGATTGAATGCATGCGCGTTAGGTGACTGGGGTCCCACTCTCCACCCTCCTTTTCATTCCTGATTTTATGCTTTGTCCTCTCTCTTCCAAGCTTGTACGCATATCATGCTAGCGTAGACTCTAAAGTACCAAGAAAGTTCGATGTTGGGGAGTGCTTGAATGAGGAGCGTGGTGTTTCATCATTACCTTGATGGGGCCCTTTGTTGGATACATAGCATGTTGTGGTAAAGGTTACTTTGTTTTACGTGTTGAGGGTGGAATTATAGGCGATTCTATTTTCTACATTGTAATTGAGAGGTGGGTTGAGTATTCTAGGTCTCCTTTTCACGATGTCATTATGTATTTATCTGTCGGTCGTGTGATTGTATGAATAATTGGAGTGTGAATGTTGTAAGGGAAGTCGTGTATTCTGGCGTTCATATTTTCTATGTTGATTGTCTGATGTGTTTCATGTTTACACATGATCAATAATTAAATATCATTTTTTACTACCATGATTCCTCACTTCCTCTGTTGTCTTGTATATTTTACTACCTGCATTCAAAAAGTAATTAAAAAAAATATGATACTTTAATCTTTTTACCTATGAGACGGAAAGAGCGGAAATTTTCACATGACTGATGGATGACATGTATCAGTTTGGTAAAAGTTAATTTAACCAACAATTATTTTTTGGTCTAAATAATTTAAAATGAAAATGGAAATAAAGTGTTGTTCATGTAATGTAACGTGGTCATGGGCACTTTAAGTTATAGTGGCTGTCAATTTTTTTTAAAGCTGTGTTGTGCGACACATGTAGCTTATATTGGTCTACAATCTACATCATTTAGCAACTGAAATGTATTTTGTATGAACATTATACTTTAATTAAATATGTTTTCTCTAATTTTTTAGTCCCATCACAATTAATTGGCGTAAACAACTCTGGTCTAGGCAGTTCTGGCATTCTTCCTTATCTTTTATGTCCACACTTTGTTGAAACAAAGCAATGGAATGAACACTAATCTTTCAATCATGCCGTCACTTCCAAATTTAAGATATTTAACAATGAAGCGTGTCTAATTAACCACTACTTTTTAATCCGCAATCAGAGTTTGCCTAATCAAGTATCATTGAAAGAGTATCTCAAGATTTTCTAGGATAATTTTATAAATCACGTTAACAAACTATTGAAGTAAGCTCTTGTGAATGTTCAAATGCATAAAAAAAATTAATAAAAAAAAAAGGAACTTTAAGGTACACTTAAATTTCCCTACTTTTCAGTACTGTAGACTTGGCGATTTAACAAAAATTTAAGAGATAGGGAAAATTAAGAACATTTTTTTGATTAATTATTATTATTATTATAAACTGTAGAATTTTCATACTCTTTAGCATAAAGAATAATCCCCACTAATTCTATGAACTACAGTAAGTAGTCTTTTTTTCTTTTTAAAAGAAAATACATGTAATTATTTGGATTTGACGGAAATCAAGGTGATTAAATAAATAATACTGATCTATCAAAATCATTCATATGTTTTCGTATCAGTCTTCTTTGTGTTTCATACAACTTTTGGTGGAACTTGGGAGTTAGAAGAATTTTAAATTACATTTCATATGAAATTAAAATTGGCACAATAAGAATTTCAATTTGACAAAATGGATTTCCAATTTGATGAAAATTAATTATAGTTTTTTAATGATATTTTGGATGCAGGATTTTATTGATTTTCACACTTTTATAGGTGAAGATTAATCCCTATTGAGGCACAATGATCATTGAAGTATTTTCCATATTTAATTATAACTCTTAAAAACTAAACCAAGTTAATTTAAGTATGCAATATACATTTCTATTAATCAATGTTCATGGTTATAGATAAGAAATTTAAAATGAACTTTTTAAAATGAATTTTCAAATACTAGCGAATTTTTTTATTAAAAAAATAGTACAAAATGAGTTTTTCAAAGACAAATTTAATAATGGTGACTTGGTCCAAATTTAATAATGATGACACAAAGACAAATTTAATAATTCTTTTGTATCCTAAAAATTTATTTTGATTATAAAAATATTTGAAATATTACTTAAATAACTAAGTTAATATTTGAGCTCCCAATATAAAACTCGTTCTCAAACTTAAAACAATATACACCAAGTCACTTACTAAAAAGTCGTTGTCAAATTATTTAACATTTATATTTTTTTCATTAAAAATTGTGATTTGATCTCCATCTTAGATATAAAATCGTAACTAGAAGTATTATGTGAAAATATACTTTCCTATAAATAAAATAAAATAACATACACTACACTAAAATATTAAGGAAATTTTAGTTGAGTAAAATATGTGAATCGTAGATCTTATTACCCTAACATGTCATCGAAGATATTGGTCTGAAATTGGTTTTAAGAAATTAAAATATCATATTTATAATTTAAAATTACACTAGTTTGTTATCTGCCATATATTTCATGCCGTGTTGTCCTGTTCAACTTTAATTTAGGCATGATTGATGATTTGATGGCATTGCTCGAGCCAAGAACATTGTTTCATTATTAGAATATTCAACTCTAATGATCAAAACCTTGGCCTTATAAGAGCCTTCGAATCGACAAATGAAAATCTCAAGCAACTTGAAATTTGGATTGTACCGAAACAGAATGGCTTCTTGTTTAAACAGAAATCGCATAAATTGTTATATTCTTCTGATATTCGAATTCAATTTTCATGAATATAAAAGAAGCATGTCAAATTAAAATGATAAATGCCTTGGTATTTTCATTTGCCTCTTTTTTTAAAAAAATATATATATATGATGGTTATGTGCATAAATAAGTGGCACACAGAATAGTCCTACATATAATGGATTGAATGAGTTTTGAGTTATTAGTTATACCCCAGGTTTCACAAATTTTCAACCATTGTCTTGGTTTTTTGAGGAAAAACTGGTTTAGATTCATTAACCCATCCTTTGCCACACAAAGTCCTTGTCTTGTTATTAGCTAGCAAAACATGCAATCATGAAGAATTTGACACTGAGATTGGCTATAATGCGTTGCAATGACATCTTCTGGAATCTGACGACTAATATCTAAAAATCATGTAGCAGAAATGGTTGAGCCTTGAGGGCACCGACTGTTTAAACTGGAGGCTACAATTATGACTTGGTTGGAAAATCAGTGATTACATATTAGTCTTGTCTTTCTCATGCCAAATAGGTTAAACAAGAAGACTAGCACTGAAATATAATAATTAACAATCAATAATCATGATAGTCCTTTGTGTTGTGATGGGTGGTAAATTGTAGCAGATGATGAAATTGAAAGCATCAAATAAATCCATCACTGTAATCTAATCTCATTGAAAGATTTACTTGTTGCCGAATTGGACTCGTGGAAGCCTTTTTGTCTTGTCACATGACAACTATAGTCACTGTTTTGATGCAGGGTGACATGATTTATGTTGGAATATCTAATCATGTTTCTTATTTCGTTGTAGTTCACCGCTTCTGGACAATTTTTATTTTTTAAAAAATGGGTTTGGTGTGCCTTTTTGTCTAAATTATTTAATTTGGTCCTAATGGTTGTAGGATAATCCTATACTGTACATGTCCATTTTCACATGTTACCGTCCGTCATCTTGCTTAACATCATTGGTGTCGATTTATATTGAAAAATAATATTAGGTATTTTTAAAATAAAAGATGAAATTGAATAATTTAAATAAAAAAAAGCAAGTTGAGAGACTTACTTATCTAAACTTAGATAGATTAATCATGTGTGATATCATATTTTATTAAGAAATTAACATATTAATTAACTTTTCAGAAGATATGTTTAATGCTAATAACTTAGTTTAAAGAAAGAAAGTGTTAAATACTCTTTATTAGTATTATGGATAAAAAAATGTTGTCATTTTCTCATTGAAAGTCATAAGAAAATTTGATTCAAAAATAAGGTTACTATCATACCAAATTTTTTGAAATTCATAAAAATGTCTTTTAAACATTTTGATATTATTCTTTCTTTTAACTAGTTGAATTTGTTTATTAAAATTTGGTTAAATTATTAAGTAGGTCAATAAACTATTTTAAAATTTTTAAATAGATTTCCAAACACTTTTTTTAATTAGGTTGTTAATCATGTAATTTTAATTAAATCCCTAAGATTTTTAAAATTGCCACCATAGTCATTTTCTAGTAGTTTTAAATCGCTAAAAACTAATACCAGGACCTGTCAAATTAGTTTAGGCTTTTTTTTTTAAGTTTAAGAATTTATTTGAAAATTCACATATAGTTCAAGAAATTAGATAGTAATTTATCCTTAAAATTTAGAAAAATAAAATAAAGTAGAGATAATAAAAATAAAATAATCTTCTTTCTGTTAGTCTTCGCTCTGTATAATAATTTAGTGCAGCAGAAACAAAAGGAAACATTGTGAAGCAAGTGTCTGTTTTATCCGAAGTAATTTAACTATAGATTTTTAAATATGCACACAATGCATTTCTAGTCTTGATTGAAGCAGTGCCAGTAGAATTCACACTTGAAAAATATGATTAGCTTTGGTGACAAATTATGACAAATTACAATTTAGCCAGAATCATGTAGAAATTGCTATAAGATATCAAGAGGGAAATAGAATCACTTCCAAAGAAATTAAGAATTCTCATCTTTCAAGGAATCAGGATATTGAGTTTCTCCACCTTCTAGTAGTCTTTTTGTTCAGTTCTGATGAATCTGGAATCTTAGGCGAATTATCTTGATTTTCTACAACATTTGTGGTTCTTCCAAGTTTGCTGAGTTTTTTCCACCCAGTGCTCCATGCAGAAGCGTGCTTCTGTTTCAGCATCTTATCAAATTGTTTCTGCAAACTAGCCATATCATTTTGAAGCTCCATGTACTTGGCTTTCACACTCTGAAGCTCAAACTTGAGTGTGTTGATGTCTTTTTTAGCAGTTGTCCATCCTTCTTGGAATGATAGTGGTGTCCCTTCAAGAAGTGTTTTCCGGTTAGGAACCGTTGCATGGCTCTCAGGCTCAACATCTTTCACAGAACTGCTGGCTAGTGCATTGCTTATCTTAACTTGTTCAGCGAATAGAACTTGCACAACAACCCTTAATGGAAGCCTTTCATTTTGAGCAGCATGAAGGCAGGCATCAATCGAGAGTTTCTGACAATCCATTACACGGCAGAGTCGCTTCCTTTCATGCTCAGAAAGTGTTGGGTGTGCCTGTTTATTTGTTACACGTATAAGGAATTCAGAAGTGGAAATCCATTGGAAAAGTGAATCTCAGCTACTACACATTCCTACTCATCCTTCTACAATGAGTGATTAGTGAAACACAATCAATATAGTTTCTCAGTTCTTTTGTTTTGTTACCCTCCTTGTCAAACCAATGGAAATAAAAATAAAAATATTATCAATCAATGTCTACATCACATGTACAAGTTTTCCAATTTACCAGAGTTAATATCACTTAACTGTATGCTATAGTAGGGGCAATAATCATCTCGGATTACCTAATAATTTCTAATAAGCTCATCTATGTGTGAGCTTACAAAAAATAAAGAACCATTTTCCATGAAATTGATTGATTTTATATTTAGTGGTACTTTCAAAATCTTGTTTAAGGGAAAATCAGAAATAATAATCTTTTTAATGCAATGAAAACAAGAGGCATGCTAAGGTAGCATGAAATCCAATTTTTTTATTTCAAATTTCACCATGCACCTTTTACCAAAATTCCATGTAAATTCAGGTGTAACTTTAGGTAAATTGAAGATCATTAAAAAAAGTATAACATTCAAAACATGACACTAACCTTCTGTATATAAATAACAAAAGTACGTTTCTAGGGGCATTGGTTGTTTTATGTTTAGTGGTCTTATATCTGTGATACAGGCACCACATGACCTAACTCTAGTTTATGGGAGAATCAGGAAACATTATTCTTTAAATCAAACGTGCTGCCACTGAAAGACAAAACCACCAATTTACTTTTCCCTTTATCGTGATGAGAACAACAAGCCTATCTCAGGGTAGCATAAAATCCAATTTTTCATTTCAAATTTGACCACAACGTTTTACCAAAATTTCAAGTATAATAAGGTGCAAGTGTAAAAGTAGGAAATTAAGAGTTTAAATAACATTTTTTTTTTTCATTTTCCCTATGAAATCAATTACCTTGAGATAGGAATCAATTGCTCTGTAAAGTCCATCATCGCAGGTCCTAGCTGCCTCAGGCAAAGCTTCTGCAAGTACCTGAAACTTGGTGAGGGAAAGGTTCCTATCTCTGGACACCTCTGTAAGATAACTGTCAACAAGCCTTGCCACTCTTGCCTTGGCATTAAGGATGCAACCCATATCAGAAAAGGACTTTCTGCTTGGACTTGAACTTTCAGTCTGTTCCTGAACAAGGAAATGCTCTAACAGCCTCTGAACAAGATCCACATCATACATAGCCTCTCCTTTGTTATAAGAAGGAATCAGAAGATCAGCCAATGTAGCCTGCTCAAACTGCATTCCCACCCTTTTCTCTAACTCAGTGACCAGTGCAGGTGCAACCTTCAACATGATTGCCATTCTCAGAAGCCTAAGAAGGAAACTGCATGAGACACTGTCCTTTTGAGGTGGAATAATGCTCACAAGGCTCTCAATAATCATCCTTTGCTCCTTAGCTTGAATACTTGAAGTGTCATCTCTAGTTCCTGTCACAATCATATGAAGTCCACTTTTCCAGCTACCGCCACCGCTACTACTACTATTACTAATACTGCAATTGCTTGCTTCATCACCAGGGATTGCAGTGTCACTAATCAAACCAGGTAGCCACTTAGTTGCATAATGCATTATTGCCGCACCAATCAATTCAAATCTCATGCCCTTTACCTTAATGGCAGTGATGACTCTCACAAAGTGATCAATCCTAAGGATTGAGGCATCCTCAAACCACCAATCAGGAGGAACTTGCTGGTTCCTACTTGGGCTTGAGTCCTTCATATCATTCCATTTTGGGCTAGAAATTTTTGCTGTTCTCCCAGTGTAGGACCACCTTATCCCTTTGGGATTGGCACAAGCTTTCCAAGCTATAGACTCGCTGCATCTGCGAACAATTTGAAGGTTTTCTGCCCATGGTGAGAGCTTCTCACAGCTTTTCAACACTACTATGGAGTCTCTCCATGAAGACAAAACAACATAGCTGAGAAATGCTTCTGCCTTGAATATAAGATTCCCTTCCTCTAGGTCTTCTGTCATTTCAAGATACTCAGCAGCGCATCTTAGTCCTGAGATGTTGCCTGCTGTTAAATCAACAGCAATTCCATAGCAGAACTTGGCTGCAAGCTCAAAAGCCTCTGCCCCACCAGGGATATCATCCATAACTATCTTATTCAAATCTAGGTGGTGTGATTCATATATGATTCTACTCAGCTTTCCACTTCGAGATACCAAAGGATACTTTCACAGCAAAAGGGGAGAAAAAGACACAAAATTCAACAGCACAAATGAATATTTTGTGATCTCTTGATATAAAACAAAGGAAATCATGAAATTCTAACTTTGGGAGAGAAAAACAAGATAGCAGCTACCTTGTGCAAGTGGAAGCTAGCTTCTCCAATTTGAACTAGAAAGTCACTTGGAATATCAGTAGCAACATACCTGCATGGAGAGAGACAAGATTTTAAAGCAGTTTACATGCTCTACAACTCAAGCTTGTTCAACTCAAAAGTGGGTAAATTAATAGTACAAAATTTTGGGTGTCCTAAAATTTTTCTTCTCACTAGAATTAGCAAAGTAAATTGGTGGTTGTGACATCTTGAAAGGGTACGAATTATGCTTTAGCATACCAAGAGCGGCCTCTTTGCACAAATCCTTCTGTCTTGACTCCATGGCTACTTGAAGTGATAAGTCCACCCCCATATGTGTGTCCTGCCGCTGACTCGCTCTCAGATTCCCACATGCTTGAAAACCAGATTCACAGAACACAGTGGTCTAGATTTTTCTTAGGACAGTGCCTCTAACTGAGAGTCACAAAGAGAAAAAGAGCAGAGTGAAAGGGGGAGGGAGCCACATGGGATGGTTGGAAACTTGGAATTATTAGTTATGTTAAAATTGTCGGTTTCTTCACATAAAATCTGAAGGACCTCTTACAGGCTGTGCTGAAATGGGCATAATCAGTTTTATTGTGAAAGTTTCTGTTCATCAAAGTTTCTGTTTCTTCCAGCTTTTGGATTTTTGGGTACTCTCTGAGTCAATGTTTAAAGACAGCCAGTTTGAGTTTCTTTATGCCTCACCAGTGTGACCACTGACCATACATGTCTCTTCCTTTTCAGATCAGATTCTTATTATTTTGGGCTACTGAATTTGATACATCCTAACATCATTCCTTTGACGATGAAAAATGCTCTTCAGTAACAGGATTTGGGCTTTACGATATAGCCAATTGATTACTAATGATCCCACCATTTGGCTTTTCTATGTTTAATCAGAGCCAAGGTAAAAAGAGAAACCACTAAGTTTGCTTAAACAAATAAATATTCTTTTCCCCTATTAAACGAGAATAAATTTTAAAAAGTAAAAGTGAAAGAAAAACATGTGGCGGTGAACATGGAAGCCAAATAACTATGATTTGTGGCTATATGTTTTGTCTTAGTGATACCAACATGGACACTTGGCGTTTTCACAAAGCTTGAGCTATGTAATAGCTGTTTGGTATAGTTTCGAACTGAAAATGAATGATTGGGGTAATATAAGTGCACTGTAGGATGTAGATGATCTTGTGTGAAAAAAATGTAGTTGATGTGTAACTCAATCTGTATATTTGGAACATGAAGTGAAACTAAATATTTGTAAGTGATTTAATAATATACATTTTGTGTTTGATTTAATTTATAAAATTGATTTTTAAGATGAAAATTAATTTATCTCTTTGATCATACAATTAGTTAAAGAGATAATAAGATGCATAATGCAAGAAAATGAGCATACATGTGGATTTTAAGAAATGTGTGAGGATACTGTCAAAAAAAAAATATGAACCGAAGAAGTTACAGCTTTTAATTAACTTTTTATGTTACGTACTCTTGTACGTGTATGAGAGAAAAAGCAAAAGTTGCGGTTACTGAACGAAACTTTAGAAGACCTACATATTGCGGTTAACTTGTTTCATCTCTCTACTTTATTACACTCTTTTAATAAATTAAATTAACATTTAATTTTATTTAAATTTGAAGATAATAATATAACATTAATATTTTAAAGATAGTAGGATTTGTTATGATTTGAAACAAGTTATGACTTAATTTAAATTTAAACATAAATAACATACTTATAACATCAATAATTTAAATTTGAAAAAAATAAAATATTAAAAATCAATCACACTCTCATACATTATATATTGGTATGACTACGTAAAGACAAAAGAGAATGTATAAAAATGAATTAATTGAAAAGTGAAACTCAAATTTATAATATAGGCTATATATTTTCCCTCTTTTTTTTGTTTTTTTTCTTAATTTTATTTTTAAAAAATATATTATATTATGGGACTAGATTTTTTCGTTGCTGAACATAACAAACGGTTGAGATTCATCCCAAGTCCCACATCTGTAAAATGAAGGAACATTGACTAGTTTATAAGGGTGTCCACCATTTCATATAGTATGAGGCCTTTTGGGAAGGAGCCCAAAAATAAAACCGTGCGGGCCTAGCCCAAAGCGGACAATATCATACTATGGTGGAACAACAGGTGGACTATCGGGCCTAACAAGTGGTATCAAAGCTCTAGGTTACGTAATTTGTGTGTCGTATTCGTACAAATTTGATTCTCTTGAGTTTGACTGATGAGGTTCTGCGAGAGGTAGGTGAAGATGATTTCACTTTGTGGAAATTGCCTAACAAGTGGTATCAAAGCTCTAGGTTACGTAATTTGTGTGTCGTATTCGTACAAATTTGATTCTCTTGAGTTTGACTGATGAGGTTCTGCGAGAGGTAGGTGAAGATGATTTCACTTTGTGGAAATTGAAGATGAAGGCTGATTCTCTTGAGTTTGACTGATACACACAGTAATTCACTTTCAAAGTCAAAGAAAGTGAGATGTTACACCTGCAAAGAGGTGGGGCACATAAGGAAGAATTGTCCACAACTGAAGAAAGATAGAAATACTACTGGTTTTGCTGATACATGGGTCATGGATACCGGAGCTTCTTATCACATGACTTTTAACAAGAAGTTGTTCAATTCATTTAAAGAATGGAATGGTAGTGTAAAGTTAGGTGATGATGAAGAGCTTGGAGTAAAAGGTAGTGGCGCTGTACAGATAAAAATGTATGATGGCATGGTCAGAACGTTTGATGCTTGGTATGTTCCTGGCTTACGGAAGAACCTGATTTCTATTGGTACCTTAGATAAACAAGGGTACAATTTTTCAGGAAATGATGGACAGATTACAGTTTCTAAAGGTGCTCTGGTTGTTATGAAAGGAAAGTTACAACATGGAATTTATGTTATGCTTGGCAATTCCTTTCGGGGAATGGTGCCTTGTGTCGAAAGTCTTCCTGATATTGTGGTGTTCAGGCGGCGTGTCCCGTAGAGTTAAGGTGGTACAAGATGGTGGCGGATTATCGCTTGAGGGGAGGAGGTCACGAGACATGTGGTCCTTGGTCTGAGGGGAGGTTTGTTGGGATTCATCCCAAGTCCCACATCTGTAAAATGAAGGAACATTGGCTAGTTTATAAGGGTGTCCACCATTCCATATAGTATGAGGCCTTTTGGGAAGGAGCCCAAAAACAAAACCGTGCGGGCCTAGCCCAAAGCGGACAATATCATATTATGGTAGAGTAACAGGTGGACTATCGGGCCTAACACAAACCTTAAATTTGTGAAGTCAAAAAAGGATAATCAAAAATGGGTTTTCGTTGTTATATCAATAGATTCGAATATTGTCTTTCCGGAAAAGAAGCATATGAAATCATTAGGCAGTGCATTGTTTATGGTGTTTGTTGTATGAAAGTAAAATTTTGTGTGTATCGTACTAAATTTTTGGAGTTTCAGCATGAGCAGAGTAGTGTCAGTTTGTCTCTTTAGGGTGTACTTTACCTGTTTGTCACCACGAAATAGATTCCCCAAAATGCATGGTTTCATGTTTTGGATAATATTAATCATGCAATAAACTTTTATAATATACTTGATAATAAAATAAAGAAATAGAGAAACAGAGTTAAAAGTGTATTAAAATGAATGATATGATAAAAATAAATAGAGAAAATTGAATAATGAAAATGCGAAAATTTGAATAAAAATAGCATCACTCCTTTTTTTCCCCATGCAGAAATTAGATCCACTGTGATTAATAATTATCAGAAGGTACTTGTATGCTAGCAAAGTTTTATTACAAGTTTACTAGAAGGTACTTGTATGTTAGCTTAGTTACTAATTAAAAAATACAAGTATTGAACCATTTAAGTTAAAGAATGAATTATCAACCTATAAATTAATTAGCTGATGATTTAACTAATTATGATGTACGTAGTGGTTTGTTTTATATTTGGGTCAGATTTTGAAATAAATGAGGGAAAAAAAACAAAAGCGACCAATTGAGATATGGATGTCATTGTTGAAGTCACATCTGATTTTGTTGGGCCAAGGCATAGTGAAAACTTGCCCACATAATTAGATATGCATTGGTTGAATGATGATGCTGTAGATTGGTGATAATTTATTTATGGTTGGTGTGGTGTGGGTGAAAAATGAAAATCAAAATAGTTGAAAGAGAAAGCGTTTTTGGATTGCATGGTGTGACTTGTGCCGCGTAGCCGCCGTAGCCGTGACTCCAATTAATTCTTATAAAATTATTTTGGTTTTTAAAACATATGTTTATTTGGATTAAAATAACTGAAATAATTTTATGAAAATTAAAAAATAAGAAACCTAAATTATAGAGATTAAAAAGATATTCAAGACTAATAATAAAATAGCTAGTGAAAATATAATGAGAGTTGATATAACTACCTTAATGACCTCACATTAGCACGAATAGTGAAGGCAAAAATCTTCACTTTTAACAACGTAAGAAAAATCCTACGGTACCTATGATGTCCATGCAAGGTTAATAGGTAATAGTAGTCATACCAGGAAAAAATCTTTCCTCTCGGGTTGTAAAGGAAGGAAAGGCATGTTATCTTCATAATTATAGGATCGAATTCTACATTTGAAGTAACTTTAGATTGATATTCCTGTTTGGTGAATCATCATTCCTGTACTTTGCATAATGACTGAATAGAAGTAACTTAGGATTAATATTTTATTTTTTAACACTGAAAGTTCAGTTTGGTGCTTCATCATTCCTGTATGGTGTATAATGACTGAATGGGAGTAACTTATGATTAATATTTTGTTTTTTAATGCTGAAAGTTTACTTTGATTCTTTTGTTATTATACCATCCTAAAGTTTTTTATTTTTTTTTTACAAAAAGTTTAGATAAAAGTAAAACAATATTTCATGCAAGGCCATAATCAACTGGTTAGTGAAATTACAAATTGTCTACCTTATCTTCAATGCAAGTCTACTTGGAATGATATAAAACACACAAAAAAATTGTATTCCATCTGAAAACTTAACTAATAGAAATAAAAAAAAAGACTTAACCAGTTATGTCAAAGACTATTATACCATCCTAAGTAAAACACTCAAAGCATGTTTCTTTAAAATAAAAATAAAAAAGTTCAGGCGATAAGATGACAGGAAAAGTTGGAAAGGGTTAAATTTAACTACGACTACAATATCCGGGGGGAAAAGGGGGAATAATTGAAGGTTCTACAACATCAACGATGGTGCTAGCCAAGAGCAAGGTAAAAATGAAAAATTAGAAGGAATTTGCAAATCAACAAAGTAGTGGAAAACTTCCATTGTCACAACAGATTTATTATTTCGGGAAGAATTAGCAAATTGCAAATGAAATATATATAATTCCCTTCTGAAGGTTGCAAAATTGATATCAATTCTACATACTCTACATTGGATTCATACTCAGAGAACGACTAGTTAATCATCTCCCGGACTCAGGTTCTTCTCGATGAGAATCATATTCAAGTTGTTGGCTATTTCCACTAAACCAATGTCCCTAAAAGCAACCATAATCTTCTCACATGCAAGCATATCAAAATCTGTGGTAGTTGATTGCTTCCATTGATCAATAACTTCACTCGCTTCTTTCGTATGACCATGCATCAGATAGGAAGAAATGATGCAGATGTAATTCCTACTAATCATTTTCTGTTTGGTCATTCTCAAGGAATTCCATATCTGATCAAGTTTATCCTTACTTCCCAGCCCACCATAAAGAATGATTAAGAAGTCATAAGTTATCCATTGCCTTTGGGTGATCCTTTTCTCAGTCTCAACAAGTGTGTTGGAACTTGCATTATCAAGATGACCTACACTAATATATATATTGGCCAGGTTCAAATATCTTATCCAACTTTCATTAGAACCAGCACCATGACTCATTTCATCAAGAATCCTCCTAACATCATCAATATTAAGAATAGCAGCACAGGAACTTATCCATAGATTGTAAGTAAAGATATCAGGGGAAACCTTTTGTTGTTTCAATTCTTCAACAACTGATGGGACCTTTTCAAACTGCCCCACTGACATGTAAAGAGTCATCATTTCATTGTAAGTAAGGGCATCAAAGGAGAGGTTTGAATCTTTTATCCTTTGATAAAGTTCCTCAGCCTTTTCAGTCAATTTCGCTCCTGCATAAGAATGGAGAAGGGCTGTGTAAGTTTCAATAGTCTTTGTAGCAAGAGGTAGACCTTCAAAGTAGCGCTCTGCGGCATCAATGCCAAAAACTTTGGTCATCAAATCTATGCGGACTGCATAATCAGAGTCTGACAACTCGTATTCCTCATGGCTAACCATCCATTCTGATATCTACAATCACCAATAATCACAAATTGCAAAGCCATAGATCCATCAGAAAAAGAGTTGTATTTGTAATAAAGTATTCCAAGTTGGATACAATCTTGTCACTAAAAGAAAAAATAAATAAAACTGTGATATGACTCTGGAGCCATTGGAAGTGTTTGAAATTGATTGAGACTTGTAGTTTGTTGGAGCAAACACTAATATATGAAACTACACAGACTCAGAAAAAGCAGTCAGAACAAGTAATACCCAAATAATTTTAATTCAAATATATTCACTTCAGAAAACTTCTGTTGTGTTGTTATTGCCTCATTTACCAAAGGCCATAGTACTGAACAACATCAAAGGACCCTCGTTCTAGCAATTATAGGCACCATAGAAATAAGTAAACTCAACTACCTTGAGATGTTTCTTTCTTCTACTGAACCTTGCAAAAACTAATATTAATAGTGCAAAGTTAAAAGGGTGTCAATGTAATGTATTTCCAACAATATAAAAGACACGGATATCGGGTGAATTTCTAAGAAATCACATGGGGTGTCAAATAATTTGTGCTTAATAATAGTTAATAACCACCAGAAGTGGAAATTCAGTAACATGCTCTGATTTGTTAAAACAGAAAAAGATCCAAAAGCTTGCATGATCTGCTAGGTGGCCTTCTACAGATTTTTTCTTCTACTTAATCTTAACCATTTGTGAAATTACCCCAAATTCATCATCACATAACTATAATAATTTTAATGGAAATATAGTATGAGAAAGAAAAAGGTGAAACCTCCAAAGCGTGTTTATAACGCTGAGATCTTCGAAGCTCTTTGGATATATCCCGAAGCTGAGAGAGCGTAATAGGATTCCCTTCGATGACCCATTTGTGAAGAACGTTGGTGGCGCTTCGCTTTGGGAGCCTTAGCCTCAAGATTCTGCTCCTTAGGTCATCACCTTCCGCACTCTCTTCCACAAATTCACTACTCACAGCACCCGAAGACCCAAATCTCGTTCTGTTGAGGAGACAGGGTAAAGCTCTATTTCTGCATGATGACGTTTTGCGAGATCAACTATGGCTACCCAAAAATTCAAATTTGATTGGTAGCAGAGAAAGCATGGAACTTGATTGTGTTGGGGATTAGAAAGGAGAATCATCAAAATTGAAATTTTGCGTTGTATTTTTGTCGGCAATCAAAGGGAGAATATGAATTGAAGAGTGTGCTTACCGTCTGAGAGAGAGGAAGAGTGAGCGATGCGCCATTGGGCATTGGCGGCGTTTCTCACTTGCAGTTGCTCCCTTCACCTTCTCAGTACTGACTCTGTCATTTCATACAGCTTCAACCGTAACAATTGACAAATAACAAGTTAACAATAACTAGTTCTGTATCAGAAATAATATCTTCAATTTGCAGGAATTTATTTATTTATTTATTATTATTATTATTACCATTATTATTATTTTAAAATACTAGAAATTCATATTTGTTTCGTAAAATATACACTGTACTCTTTTTTAATCATGTGACTGTACAAGAATATCCACATGTATTTTGAGTTTTTATTTATAAATGCAAATTAGGAATATGATTTTGATGTAAGTATTCAATCATTAAGTAAGTATTTAGCTAAATATTAATTATGAAAAGAATTGTATTTGTGAAAATTTCAAAAAAAAAATTATTAAAGTTTATTTCTTTAATATAAACTAACCCATATATTAATTTATTATATCTTGAACCCTAATTTTATCTTAACCCAATGCTTAATATAATAGTAAAACATATTATCTATTCATTTGTTTGATTTTTTTTGTTTTAAATATCCCCTTAGCTTAGGTGTCATTTATTTTAAGGTATGTTATTACATTTTTATACACCGAAATATATATATATATATATATATATATATATATA